GTTTTTAAAAACACCTGCGGGAGCCCACTGGGGGATTTTGTTATTGTGATGGTTCTTTCAAGGGGACTAGGGGCTTGAAGGTAAACCAGGGGGCCCCACAGGAGAGTCTGGAGCCCTATCATCTGCACTGGCCATCTACAGGTCAGGTCCGGCACTGAGGCACCTTTACCAGGAAGCAGCAGCTTGAACCCTCTCGGCCCCTTTTCAACCTTTCCCAAAGCTTTTTCTAGTCGAAATTATSTTGTCTAAACGATGCAGAATGGCTTGAGTTAGAGCTGGACATTTGACCACAACCCTGACCACRCCTCGGCCACCTGGGGCCAGTTGACCCAGCAGGGCGTTCAGGAAGAGGTGCCTACCAGCCAGGGCGGGCGGAAAAGGCGCAGAACCCCAAACCTCATGTTGTGGGGCTCCTCTTCACTTCCAAAGGCGGCCTGGCCGCCYTCGAGAATAAACCGGGCCATCCCTCATCGCCACAGAAACCTCACTCGTCACAAAGTGTCCTTTGTGGTTCTGACAGCCCTACCTCGCCTGGTCCCCAAATCGCTCGCATCTGAACTGTTTCCACAGCCAGGATCCTGGCGAGGCTGCCCCAGCCACCGCCAAGTTCGCATTCTCCGCGCTGGAGAAGAGGAGACACCTATTGGCAAGAAAGCGCGCTGGAAATCAGGGCTGCGCCGGGGAAACACCAGGGGGACACCCTTCCCAATCTGTGCGGCTCCGGCCGCCCGCGCCTTCCCAGGGCGCTCAGATCCCGCTTGAGTGCAGGGTCCCGAGTGGATCCACCGTGAGGTTCGGCGGCTAGTGGTGGCAGGGGGCTCAGAGAGGGCGCGGGCTTACCTTCCTCCGCCGCCTTCATGGTACTGACGGCGGGCAACACGGGCCCCAAAGTTTCTCCGCTCCCGCAGAATGCGGCCGGAGGGCCGAGTGGAAACTTGGAAGGGACAGGGAAGCTGGTACTTGGCATCCACGCGGCGGCGGCGGCGGCGAGCGGAGGGAGGAGGAGCGGGAGCCGGCGGCGAGCACCGGGGCCGGGCTCTGGGAGTCGGACTTCTCCCCTGCGGACACGCGCTGGGCCCGCTCAGCGCCGCGCCCCGCGGAGAGCTGTCATGGGGGGTGTGCGCGCGTGGCAGACCCGGGTTGGAGGTGTGCACCTCGCGCCGGAGCTCGAGCCGGGTCGCTGGGATCCCGCGCGGCGACTCCGCCGCTGAGTCCGGAGCCTCCAAGTCTCGCTCTGACGCAGGGCCGCGCTCTGCCTCCTGCCTTTTTAAAGCTGGAAAACACCTCCCCCGCCTCCCCGCCGGCCCAGCCGCTCCCGCGCCCCCTCCCTGCCGTGACATCACGCCCCTGCCCGCCCGAGCCGGCGCGGGGCCCGGGGGACTAGTCTCCGAGCGCCGCCCTCCCTGCCGCTGCGCAGGGCCGGAGGGGCGCCTGGGGGTGGGCAGAAGTGCCCAGAGGCCGGCGGGGGCGCACTGGGAGCTAGGAGCTCACCAGCGGGCAACAGGGACACAGGAGCTAGCAGGGGTGCCCGAAGGCCAGCAGAACAGGAGGGAGTGGGTCGGGGAGCCCGGGGGAAAGCCGAGGCGCCCAAGACGTGGGGATTGGGGCAAAAAGGGCGGGCAGGGGCGCTCTAGTAGGAAATTGGTTCAAGGCGCGCATGAGGGACAAGGGGGCTGGTGGAGACGACATGGGAGAGAAGGGGCGCACGAAGGGGAGACGGATGAACTGGCAAGACCTGGGTCCACGCGGTACCCAGGGAGAAAAACACTCTGCTTAATGAGGGGCTGGGGGCGTAGGAGGCGGGGGAGGGGTGCAGAGAAAGCCCTGCATGCTGAAGTCATTATGTAAAATCGCAGGCTTCCCCTGCTGTGGAAATTTGGAAAAGCGCTTCCACTGGCAGGCCCGAGAAAGGAAATTCCCATCCCGTTAAATTACTAACAGATTGTTGGCCGTCCCGGGAAGTCCAGATACCGTCCTCCTTATTCTGTAAATATCTGAGCGACCCAGATTGCCTGTTGCATGAGCTGAGGAAGGGGACGTCTAGGAGAGCGCGCCAACCTGCACAGACCCTTCTCTGGACCCTGTTCCGCGCTGCCCCTGTGGGGGGAGGGTTAAAGACGTTTTGTAGGCGCAACTGTGGGATCTCGGATCCGCGGTGGAGGGGGGGGGCTGGTGCGGGGGGCCTCTGAGGATCCGTCCCGTGTCACTGTGAACTTTTCTCTTTCAAATCTCCCCGTACCCCCTAGGGCGCCCCTCAACTGCCAAAACCGGACCAGATTTTCTTGTTGGCTTTGGATGGAAAGGATTGGAATGCTGGGGTGGGGGTTTGGAGAAGGGTAATAGAAATCGTGAATCTTTTCACACTTTATGTAGCTTAAAAGAAGCCCCAAAGCAAAAAAGCGTGTTCTCGGTGGGTGCCAAGAAGATGTGGGACTCCTGGGCATATTACTGTGCCAGGGGGTACCCTGAAGGACCCCAGGACTCCGGGAAATGGGGGCGGGGAGGAGGACTTGGGTCAACCTTTGATCTAGCCAGTGAGTGGCGCTGGCCCAGAGGATTCGACTTAAACTTTCGGAAGGTGCAAGAACTCCACCCCTACCGTCTTCGGGATCCTTCCAGCGGCTTCCACCCACAAGAACTAAAGTCCCCTTTTCCCCGCCAAAGAGGGAGGTGCCCAGAGGGATCGGAGGAATAGGGACAGCCTTGCCACTGCCAGTGCCCCTCAAGGGTGGCTACCTGCGAGCCCGTTTCCAGGGGGAAACCGGGGCTGGCACTCSCCCGGGGGTCCTGGATACCCAGAGCAGAGGGGCCTTCGGGGGTGGGGGTGGGGCCGGAGTACCCTGAGCGGGAGCGAGGACACTGGGGACCCCGCGAGCAGGTCGCTGGTAGGTGACCAGCCGGGAAGAAGCAGGGGAGGGAGACCACGCGAAGATCTGTGTGTTGGGGAGTAACCGCGCAAGGATGGCGAAGCCTGGGGTGCTTCATGACAGAAAGAGGCCGCCGCTAGAGGGGGCCAGGGCTGCGCTACCCGCGGCCCTGTCGTTAAAAAAAAAAAAAAAAAAAATCCTTCAATAAATCCCGGTGTCCCCAGACCTGGAAGCCAGAATTTTTCCCGGGGAGTTCCCGTTCTTGCCCTCGTCTTCCCCACAGCGCCTCGAGGGGACAAAAGCACGGTCGTCTGTGGCGCGGCGGGAGGGCAGAGTCGGGGCGCGTCCTTGAAAGCGTCCGCGAGGCCGGGGAGGCCTGGCAAGTCGTGACTGCGCCCACCGCACCCCGCACCCGCACCCCGCACCGCCACCCGCGCGGCGGCGCTCGGCCGGGTCCGCTCGCCCTCCGCCCTCCCTCTCCTTCTTCTCTTCCTCCTCCCTCCCTCCCCCGTCTTCCTCTTCCTCCTCCTCTTCCCCTCGCCTCCCCTGCACCTCCCCCAGTGGAGGCTCTCGCCGTCTACGCAGCTCTTTCCTGCTCTCAATGCCCTCCTTATCCCCGCGGGTGACGGAATCCCGGGCCTGTTTCCCTCTGTTTAATGCCGTTGCCGGGACCACGGTGGCGGCGCGCCAGGGCGCTGGAGTTCCGAGGGGCGGCGCGCGGAGCGCGGCCAGCTCGCTGCTGTGCGCTGGCCCTGCGGCCACCACCGACACCGGCCTGGGTCCTGCGCTCCCGGCGCGGCCCTTCCGCCTCCTTTCCTTTTCCTCCGGCCTCCTCTCGGGGGTTTGTTTATAGCTGCTACTAGGAGAGACGTTACACGGATTTTATTTTAAGAATTGGTGATGACTAACAAAGTTAAAAGAAGCTTAGGACAGAAAACAAGACTATTTTTAGGTTACTGTTGTTTCTGTGGATTATTGGGGAGAATCACCCCTAGAAACTTACCAGTTTGGAAATCTTTGGAAGCCAGATCCTTTCCCCTGGAGCGCACTTGGATATGCCTCCACCGGCCCCACGTTTTCTAGAGACTCGCCGCTGCTCGGGTTCCTAAACCCGCGGGGGAAAGGCTGCAGTTACCGGACCCCATCCGCGCGGGGGCGTTGCCAGCGCAGGCCTGGGGATCTGAGCCCGGCCCGGCCGCTCCACCGCTGCCCTACAGAGCTGGCGCTCCTGCCCTGGGAGCTGCTGGGGACCTTCAGCCGCCGGGGCCTCCACGCAAGGCTTGGCGGATGGGTGCCCAGGCCAGCGGCTCCTGGCCCCTTTACTGAACCGCTGATCCACAGGCTGGTGAAGGTCACATGGAGCTTTACTGAATCTTGTCTCTCGGGAGCGACATTCTGAGCCCCAGGGTCTCTTAAAATTCCATCCCAATGCCCTTGGAGCCTCTGGCTGGAGTTGTAAGATAGACAGCAAGGGTGGGTTCACTTCTCCCCGATAGCACCAGAGGCCTAAAGGCTGTCATGTCCAGAAGTCAACGTGGAACATGGGCTATTAGCCAAAACCTGGAGTAGAATGAAATATTAAACCAAATTCTTAGGAAGTTAAATTTTTTTCTTTTAATGCTGCTGAAGTCTGGATCCAGGGCCTGCTGCAGGCTAACTTCTGTATCATTGAGCCACACCTCAGGCAGCTTACTTTTAAGTAAACTGCTGACATTTTAAAAAGCCAATGCAAGTCTTACAGYTGTGGTTGAGCTGAGAAAGAAGGGCCCCTTTGGTGATCCACCTGTGTCAGCACCTTCAGACTCCCTTCAGATAATAGGGTGTACTCACTGAGCCATAAATTTGGGATTCAGAGATCCTTCACGATGCTTCAACTTGGGGAACATCTCTTCAGTTGTCCGCCTTCCTGAAGCCGTCCTCATTGGTGCTGAAGCCGTCGTCCTCATTGGCCTCTGCCTGTATCCGCCCACTACTCATGTCATATACTGACCGGGTCTGCTGTGGTGGGCCTTGAATGTCTTCAGAGGCAGACTGTTGGAGGCGTGGCCCCGGCCCACAGTACCATTGGGAAATGGGGGAACACTTGGAGGTGGGCCTGGAGGGAGATTTTAGGTCACCTGGGGTGGATCCTTGGAGAGAGTGGGGACCCAAACCCCTCCCCCTCTCTTCCCAGACAGCATGAGAGGAGCAGCTCTGCTTGCACACCCACGTGACAGGCTTCATCACCACAGGCTCAGAAGCAGCAGGGCCAGCGGGCCCTGGACTGAAGTCTCTGATACCACGGGAAGATGTGATTTAACTTGATGTGCATCAGGTATTTTGTCTCAGTGATGGACAGATGGCTAACAGAAGGTCTGACCTCTCCTGCAGCAGTCAGTCAGTGAATCCATTCCCCCCGCTCTGGCTTTTGTACAGGATCAGGACCAAGACCGAGCTGCTCAGCTTGGCACCTGATGTCCTTCACCCTCCACATGCATGGCCTGCCTGGAGTGGTGTGCAGCACTTCACCATGCTCCTGGTTACCCCGCCCACCCCTGACACAGAGTCCACAGAGTCCACAGCTGGCACTTGCTAGACACAGCTTTCCTGCAGCTGTCTCCCCAGGTCCTCATCCCCTCTCCACAAGCCTTTGTGTGCCTTCCCCTTGCCTTTGTGCTGGTCAAGAGCCTTTCCCTCAGACAACTGGCATCTGTTTGTAGCCTAGCATGAGGCCCGTCCTGAAGAGTGTCTTGTGCCCCTGAGTAAGGTGTGCCTTTGGCTTTGCTGGGTGGGAGCTCTAGGGTGTCTTCGACGAGCCTAGCCAGTTTATTCTGCTGCTCAAGAAATAACTTATGAAGACAAAAGGTTCATTTTGGCTTACAGTTTTGGAGGCTCTTGTTCATGATCAAGCAGCCCAATTGCTTTGAGGCTGTGACCAGGCAGTACTTCATGGCAGGAGCATGTGGTGGAGTGAGTTGCTCACCTTGGCAGTGAAGCAAAAGAAAAAGAGAGAGAGGCTAGGGCCCCACTATTCCCTCCAAGGGCACAGCCTCAATGACCTAAAGACCCTCAACTCTCAAAGGCTCCACTACCTCCCACAGAATCACCATAGGGCAAAGCCTTCCACTCCAGGGCTTTTAGGGGACATTGGGCTCCATAGCATTCTCTAGTGATGCCTCTGTTTCCATCTGTGTGACATGAGTGTAGCACCCCAGCTCCTCTGCTGGCAGTGTTTGCTGGGCATGTCTTTCCCAGCCTCTCAGTGTGCCTGACGTGTGCCCGGAGGCAGCATGAAGCTGCATGTTCTGACCCAGTCTCACCGCTGCTGGCCTGGCCTGGATCCACATTGACTGCCATTGTTGTACAGCTGGGTTCTCTCT